ACCACTGAAGTCACCAGTGTACAAATTTGTATTAACTGGAATCGATGTCTTCTCGAAATACTTGTTTGCAGCACCATTGACAAACGCTAGCGCTGATACAGTAGCAAGGGAACTCACGAAAATATTTTTCATGCACAGCTACATACCGAAAAAGATCATAGCAGATCTCGGAACGACATTCACGTCAGAACTAATGCATGAATTGACAACTCTATTAGAAGTTCAAATCAACCACGCAACGCTGAAACATCCACAATCAATTGGTCTTGTCGAGCGATCTCATGGACCTCTAAAAAGGATCTTGAAGCTGAATACTAATGAACAATGGTCAGACTGGCACAAATATGTCCCATTGGCAACATTCATTCACAATACGTCGTACTCTTCATCAATTGGATGCTGCCCTAGCTCCATTTTTCATGGAAGAGAACCAACAAAACCACTTGATCTTCGCTTTTCGACGAAAGCAATGGAATCAGTAACAGCAGAATCAGACTTCGTTACGGCAATGCAAGACGCGATGCTAGAAAAGTTCAAAGAAACAAAAAAGAACTTGATTTCTTCGTACCACAAGTATCGAGGATATTACGATCAAAAGGCACTTGCGCAGCCTCTCAGTCGAATCATTTTGTTTACTACTAAATCCTCTGCTGACTACACAGTCAGACTTTGGAAGCAAATCAATGCAAGTCTGGATACCCCTGTACAGAGTTGAGAAAGTGTTAACAAATTCGAACTATATAATTCGGAAAGTTGGAACTAACTACACCCAATGTGTGCACCGAATTCGTCTCAGACCAGTTGATCCACAGCATCAACCAGAAGATCTCAATCCAATAGATCCAACGAAGTTTCAAACGGATCCTTCACTCGGAAAATACCGAAGCGAACCAGGACTTTTCGACGAAAACTTGCCGAAACTCTTAGATGAGATCCAACCTGATAATCCTGACGAAACCGATCAACCAGCCGCACCAGCTAGAATCAGACTATCAGTGCCCTTTGGAGCGCCAGCAGTTGCAGCAGCACCTGCACCGATGCCAATTCCAGCAGCACCAATAGTGGTACCATTACCGGTCCCAGTACCAGTAATACCACCACCGCCGGATCCACCCCCAATCCCAGGAGCAGTACATGTGCATGAATTACCACTCGCTGAACTACCAGCAGCGCCACCAATGGATATCATTGATGAACAGGTCACTGACAGATTAACCAGCAACAACTCTGATCCTGAGGGATACAACCTCGACGAATTGTTTCGCGAACCACAGCCAGTTGTCAGACGAAAAGCAGCAGCTGAAGCTAGAGACCGAATTCACGCCCAAATTCGGTTTAGTAATGATGTTCGATATCACCCAATACCCAGCCGCCCAAAACAACCGCGAAAGTATGGACTCCGAACCGTTGACGGACACGAAGTGGCCCCAGTTACATTCATTCCACGATCAACGCAAAAGGACAATAAAGCAAACATACGAAAGAAAGCGGAGGCGGCGAATGAAGACTTTCCTTCACGGGATTCGAAAAGGAACATTATTATGGACAGCGTTAAACGAGCGAAACAATTCACTAAACAAAAAGATGGACCTGGAAGCAGCAAAGACTCGGTAAATGCAATATATGAACCAAATATCTTTGTGGGATCAGGTGATGTCCTACAGTTCCCTGGCTCTATAGCTCACTGCGTCTCAAGTGACTTTCAAATGGCAAAAGGAGTAGCACAGCAGATCAGCAGCGCCTACCCATGCATCAAACCAACCCTAAAAAGCATTGAAACACCGATAGTTGGATCATCAGTTTCAGTTTCTTTGCCTTGGGAAAACAAGTCAATTTTCAATTTAGTCACAAAACCACAATTTTTTGACAAGCCAACATACTACGATTTGTCAAGAAGCCTCAACTGCATGAAGCAGCAGCTACTGCAGAAGGGAATAAACGCTATAGCCATGCCGAAAATCGGATGTGGACTCGACAAATTGAAAGAAAGCAGAGTTTTCAGCCTAATTTGCGACATTTTCGAAAAAACGAACATCAAAATCTTTATTTATGTGTGACGAAAAATCACGATATCAGCTAGTAACGTTCATGCATGCATTCTTAACAATGTAAGCTCCAAAACCACCCAATCGATACAATTGAAGTCACGAAAAAACCAAAATAAAACAGAAAAAGTATAAAATTTCGAGAAAACTCTCATTTCCTCAAGTTGAGCTTTTCTGAAAAACTGACACCCAAGTCGAAATATACGTAATGCAACCGCTTTGAACCCGTGGAATACCTTCAAGGCCCAACTAGGACTCAGGCAGGAAGTCGGCTCACTAGGAGAAGTCAACTTCGCGAGATCTCGAAAAATCCACCTGTTGCCCATGTTTAAGCATTACGAATAAAAAATTTCTGCTCCCCCCAAAAATTTTAGCTAACGAAGAACCAATTTTTTTGGGCTCAGTGATCATTAGACGACCAATGAGGAACAGGCAGGAAGTCGGCTCACTAGGAGAAGTCAACTTCGCGAGATCTCGAAAAATCCACCTGTTGCCCATGTTTAAGCATTACGAATAAAAAATTTCTGCTCCCCCCAAAAATTTTAGCTAACGAAGAACCAATTTTTTTGGGCTCAGTGATCATTAGACGACCAATGAGGAACAGGCAGGAAGTCGGCTCACTAGGAGAAGTCAACTTCGCGAGATCTCGAAAAATCCACCTGTTGCCCATGTTTAAGCATTACGAATAAAAAGTTTCTGCTCCCCCCAAAAATTTTAGCTAACGAAGAACCAATTTTTTTGGGCTCAGTAATCATTAGACCACCAATAAGGAACAGGCAGGAAGTCGATCCACTAGCAGATCAAAATTTGGAGAAATACATCAATTTACACTATTCCCATGTATTATGATAGGCAAAACAAGAAAAAATATAAAATTCGAGGGATATCTTCGCAGAAATTCAGAAAGAAAGCGTTCAAATGAGCCAACAAACATCCAATGTGCTTGTTAGGCAACCCTAAAAGGTTGTCAGTGATACTGAAGAACAACACGCGAATCTTGAATGCCAAGAAGATATCAAAAAAAGATAAACGAAATTAATGGAAAAAAAAAAAAAAAAAGTAATTTATCAACTACTCTAACTGACGCCAAATTTTGCTCAGGCGAACCAGCAAATTGTCTGAATAGCCTATAGGAGTGAAGTGCAGCTACAGTAGAAGAAAAGAACTGAAAAAAAAAAAAAAGCCAGACACTACACACAATACGATGATCGCGATCAATGCAAAAACATCGTAGAAATGTGTAATTTTGACTTTTTCAAAGAAAAAAGTCGATCACCTTCATTCAGGGAGTAAGGCCAATAAAGGCACAAAACGCCCATACGATGAAGACCAGAAGACTTCTGAAAAATAGACAACGAACAGTAAATGAAATATCAACCTTTTAGCAAGTAATATAAAGTACTAATTGCTAAGCTAGTTGAAAATTTTCAAAAGAAATCGTGAAGAAATCAACAAAACATATCACTGTTAAGTTGTTGATAATCAATTCACAATCTATGAGGCAACGATTGGAACCACACCGCCTCATATCAAAAAGACTTCAGCATCAAACGAGCACAAAAAGAATCAAAGGCAACAACGAACGAAGACAGCGATATCAAAAATTAAAACGAAACGACGACCAAAACTATTCAGCTACTCCACACGACAGTTCTTGCCGTGGAAATTTAGTTACAGTTGACAAATGAATACATCATGATATCATTAATTTATCCTTATCATCTATCACTTTAACTCCCATACCCCGACTCAAGGTGGCTTGCTTAAAAATTATCTCCCATTTAAGTTTAAAATAATTTATCTTCTCTCGTTTTATAAATTGAATTAATAAACTGTGCTTCTAATATTATGAGTTTATTAAATTATTGCGATATAACTTTTGATAGACCCATACCATATTGATACTTGTACATATTCTTAATCAAAGCAGTCTTAAATTATTATGTGAATTATTGTAAATGTATCTGATGAAACACTTCAACCACCCGGGAAGACTTCTTCTTGTGAGGTTGTGTGACATCATCCCTTCATGATGTCATTCATTCTAATTAACCATCTGAACCGAATAGATTACATAATTCACCTTGATGTTAAAATAGAGCTGCATCATATATTTATTTAACTATGTAAACATTGATGGTAATTAATACCAATCATTGGAGATTTATACCGAGCTACGAATCAATTGAATAGAGATCAACTTAATATACTATTCCAATCATGCTCTTACTTGCGCCGATCGACTTGCGAAATATCAGAAGCTAGGAATCGGAACCAGCATCCTTTAAAGCAAGATAGGTCTTTACCGCTCGAGACATATCTAAATAATGAATCCAATCTAAATACAATTGATAGCCAGTAGTGCTAAATAACATTACCAATTGAACAGCTCGCATAACAGTAGACGACAGTATACCCGTATTATCCATCCGCCAGATACGGTATATTATATCCATTCAGCAGCCATTCAACTCCAATATCGAACAGCAAAAGTATAAAGGCCACGGAAACGTCAAATATGGACCTTAGTTTTCTGAATTCCCAGCGGAACGAAAAATTGCATTCATCCAGTTTTTTTTCTAAATGGGATAATTTTAGGAAGAAGGGCTGATGAAAAACACTTCTTGAAATTCAAAGAGCTTGACCAATTGTGATATAACTTTTCTTTGAATCTCGAAAGCTGAATAAATTTTTCCGGTTTCCTTGTTCTTACACTTTTCCAACTGTTGGCTGTTTTTTTTTCATTTATGATTTTTCTCTAATCAGAGTTTTCCTTGTCGCCTGTGACGCGAAGCTCAGCTTTGCCTGTGTCGAAATTCCAAATAAGTTGTAACCATGTTTGCTGATGTGGGTACTTTTGCTAAGATTTGGTGTTTATATGAGTCCAAATGTTGTTCACCGTGAATCACAATCGGATTTCTTCCAAGGTTTGTTCTAATCAGCGCTTTGTTACAGACAGAGTAGCAATCAGAAGAAAATAATCGGGACAGAAAATACTTCATTGCGACTATCGCGATCTCAGGAGTAAGTTTGTTTTATCTCCTCAGATTTTTTTCATTATTGTCGGCATTCACTTGAAATGTGTTTTTTTTCAGCAGCCCTATGCATTTTCTGAATCAGCAAATCAAGAAAGCAGAGGCCGATCTATTGAAACCTGGAAAGTCGCATGCGGTGAAAAAGGAAAAGCTCGAACCTATTAATAGTGAAATGCTAGTGAATAATCAAAAGCGAACACCTGAAATAGCATCAAGTTTTCCAAAATTGAAAATGAAATCAAAACCCCAGAAAGATGAACTCGCGATATCTGCAAATGCAAAACCAGATATTTATCAACGATTAATACGAACTAAAGTTACTCGGGAAGCGGACGATGATAATAATATGTACGTCAACCCGTCACTGCCTAGCTACAAAACTGCTGAAATTCAGAGAAACTTACACCCGCAAACTTCAGACACATCGAAAGCGTCCTTGAAAAAGCCGATCTTTACTGCCAAAAGTAGCGCGAAAATAGAAAACTCCCAAATAGATAGAAATAACAATTACCAAGAAGTTGAGCAATTAGACATCGAAGAAATTATGGATGTTGTGCTAGACCTCGAATCTCAATGTAATAATGAAATAGGCGCTGAATCAAACTCGCCGCAAAAGTTTGATGGTAACAGTAGCCGGGTGGAATTAGAAATGGGACTTAGATATAAAAGCAAAAGTGCAGCCAATCAAGATGAAAGAATCGATGATAACCAAGAACTAGAAAGTAAAAAACCTCATGTGCGAAAACTGAAGAAACTAAATAGAGACCTACTGCAGGCTAGTGTTATTGAAAATGGGGAAAACAGCGAAAAGACAATGGACAGCAAGAAGAAAGAAAATGGTTTCGAGAGCTTCGAAAGTCTAACTAGAAACAAAGATTCAAACAATGATTCTGAAGAGTTAAAGACCTCAAAAAAGTCAACAAAGAAACGGAAGGCAAAAATGGAAAAGGAAAATAGAGAAACGCCTTCCGAAAAACTAGTTGAAAATGCAGAACTTGCTCAAGTTGATGTTAGACAAGAGAATAAGAACAACAAAATGGCAAAAAGAAATAAAATGAAAAAGGTAGAGATAAAAGCTGAAAAGTTAGACGAACATGTGAGTGACAAGGTTCCGGAATCAGAACAGATTAAAAAGCAAAACAAGGATATAGAGAAAAAACCAGCTCCTAAAGTAGCGAAAAATTTAGCAAGGAATGGAAATAATCCAACTGCTACAAATGAAACTAGCAGGAAACATCCGATGGAGCAAGAATCCTTAACCTCCACAATTATCGATCAGAAGAATATGAAGAAAGAACCAAAGAAATCTGTTGGCAATAGAGCGAATAATGATGCGAATGCACAGAGTGGCTCTAAAAAGAATTCAGGTTTGCTATGCGCTAGCGTTACCCCTTTATGGATGAACTCCTAAAAATGAAAATGAAGCCGAAACGAGGGTAAACTAAGTGAAAGGGACAATTACCTAAACAAATGTAAGGGCCAAGTTAACATCCTCCCTCCCCCCCCCCCCACCCCCCCAAATGCTTTTAGAGGGCAGGATGTTAACTTGGTTCTAAGTTGGGAATTTTCAGCCAATCAGAATCGAGCACTTTACATGCAGCGGTTAGCAAATTTAATTTAAATTAAGCGCTGGGGTGGAGGATCTTAACTTGGTCTATTTGGGGGGGGGGGGGGGGGGGGGGGGGGTTGGGTTGTTAACTTGATCCAAATGTAAAAATGGGAGAATATTTGAGATATAAATGAAATTTGTTGGCGTTTTATGACTGTGAACTAAAAAAAACGTTGTTAGCTATCATACGTTGTAGTTTTTTGATCTTTTCATATAAAGTAAAGGTAACAATTTTGGCATGTATTGTTGATGCAATCCTTGACGTCAGTTATAATGATAGTTAACGCATTTATAAACTGAAGCTATGTATTTTATGGTCAAATTTTTTCAATACGCTGGTTCGATAATTAACGACCAGTCTGCGTATTTTGCACATTCATAGCTTAACGGTTTAGACTAGTCAGTAATTATTCAAAAAACATTGTCTGAAATTTTCTTTTTTGACTGGTCTCAATAGTGTTCTTATAATATGGGATTTGTTATCAGTGAAGTTATTTGTGTTTTCCTTCTTGAAAAGCAATTTACTTTTGTTATTTCAAAATAATTTGGTGTTGCAGGAAACGTGGCGAGTGAACAGAAAGACGCGGCTGCAGACGAAGTGGTTGATTCGGATTCGGAGGAGCAGTCGTGTAAGTACAATGTAATTGGCTCCATTCGGCCGGTGAATGTGGAGGCGGAGAAATCGAAGTTTTTCAAGCTGAAGTTCGACTACAATCCGACCTTCAAGTACTACAACCCACTTCCTCCTGAGGTGCTGCAGAAGTACTCGAACGCGTCCGACTTGTATCTGCCTCAAGTACGAACTCAATTGTCAATCAATTCTATTTTTATGCTCTTTCATCACGCGACAATGTTAATTTTGCGCAAACAAGTTTTCGAAATATATACTGGTACTATGTGCCATTTAATCGTAATGGTTCATCGAAAAATAAGGTTGCAAATGGTCAGTTTATTGAAAAGTGACATTAGAAGGATTATTGCATGAAACATTGGGAATATTTTAGAAGACGTTATTGCATGACTTATTAAAAATATTTCTAGTATAAGCTATTTTTTAAAATAAAAATGTTAACTCCGAATTTTGTTTAGATCGCAAAGGGTGAGTTTCATTGTCTTGACTTTGTGTATAGTCTCAATAGTGCTCACATAGTAACGTGAAATCATTTGTCACCAGAGTCTGAATTGATTTTATGTTGCTCTTTTATTTGTGGTTATGGATCTTTCCCTTTTTTGTTCCGATCACTTCACGGAGGAAATTTGGTTTAGCTGGTGTTTTTTTCCGCATAGTTTTAATGAGTTGTATCATATTAAAGCACTATAAAGATGTAATTTAGATTCCAAGAAAAATCATAAGTTGTCTCTGTCGAGAAAAACTGCATTCTCCTTTTTTTAGACTAAATTTCAGTACCCGCCCGATCTAATCGTTGTTTTTCCAATCTTATGATTCTGCAATTTCGTCATTGTTTTTGTTACTGTCAGCTGACTGATTACTGTTGCTTATTGACCGATTTGACTCCCATTATTTGCTAAAAAGATCAATCTTAAGTTGGTGGTGGGTGGGGGACTTTCATTGCAAAAATAAGCGTGATCAGAACATTCTGCGCTGCTTGAAATGCAACCTGCTATACTTATTTTAGTTAATCATTAAAATTGGGATCAAATATAGGTTTTCTCGCAAAGAAAGATACTGAAATGTAAAAAGGTGAATTGTTTTTAGGCAGTTAAAATAATGAAGTTCCTCATTCGGAAATACGGGAGCTACGAAAAATTTGAATCTGAAAACGGAGGACGTCTTCTATCTCGCCAAGAGATCATAAACCTGGTCAAAGATTACTGCCGGCGCGAAAACTTCGGAGACGGGGAGATAATTCTAAACCTTAGCGAAGACTTGCTCTCAACAGCGTCAATGACTCGCTTAAATGGACCTCACGGGCTGCTGTGTGTTAGAGTGGGAGACATGTATGAGTCTTGGATTGAAGGGATGTTACGTCATGAATTGAGTACACATTACGTAAGAAGCGTGAACAATTTAGTGCAACCTTGGGCTAAAAATAAAGACAGGAAGAAGTTTAAACTGTACCCTGTGAACCCTACTGAGGAAGGCTTAGCTAGTTTGCATACAGTATTGCTAAGACAGGATCCGCTGCTGTTTCGTAACGCGCTGCTCTATTTCGCAATAGCAATGGCTGCCAAGCTGTCATTTAAAGATCTGTTCATCAAGTTAGGTGAGTTTGTCCATGATCCCCACAGACGGTGGGACTACTGCATGAGGGCAAAAAGAGGTCAAGTTGATTCAAGCAAACCAGGTGAGGCTCCAATATTTTGATAAGTACAAAAATCAGTAAAAAACGGCTTTAAATCGTACAATGAAACGGAAAACTTTAAGCGGTACGTTGCTGTTTTGTGGCTGTTTCGAGTTTTTTGTCTGAAGCTCACTAATGTCACAAAATTTATAACGTTCCTGTATATTTCGACTTGGCACCGAGTTCTGCTTCAATATTGAATTTGAAATTTGAATTTGATGCAGATAAAATTTTGACACACATCATTTTGATCAAACAGGTTAAATAAATCTACATCAGGACTGCTATACAGGTAATTCAACCTTTCGAGTAGCATTCCTTTAGGTTACCTAGAAAAAAACGGTAGGGCACTGAAATTAGGAGTTACCGATGGTAAAAACAGCGAAAACATACTTTCATTGTCCATTATGTAAAGCCTACTGAATTTTGTAAAGAAAATGTGATCTAATTTTATGATAATCAAAATGGTAAAGGTTTTCTTTATTTTCAGCTTTTAGATTTATAATAACCCTTGTTTCGTAACTAGTCTACGATTGATTTTAGGGTGCTTTGCGAAGGACCAAGTCTATTTAACTGGTGCTCTCAATATTCTCAAAAACAGGAAAAACATTGACTTCCAAGCACTGATGAAACTGGGAAAAGTCTCTTTTGAAGACGTGGACAAGCTCAAGAAAGAAGGCAGTGGTGATATGAAGCACGAGAGTCTTCGACTGCCCTCTTTCATGCAGAATATGAAGTTCTACAAGAACAGATTAGATGTTATAATGAAGTCCAACGGTTTGACCGATAACGATTTCAAAGTTTCTGGAAAAATTAAAGAAGTAGATCAATGTCGATACGATATCTAATTCTGATGCAAATTATAAAGTGAATTGACGTGTTCTAATTTACAAATCATATCAGTTCTATATTTGCATCGCTTAATAATTTCAATTAATTTCTGTGATTTAACTTTTTAAATGAGCTTATATTTCCATTGGACTCTTTGTTTCCATTAGTCTCTTTATTTTAAACTAATAAAGTCTTTTGACGTTAATTTTTCTTTCTCAAATGAGGCGATAAGTCCGCGGTTTCAATGACGTTTACTTCTCGCCTATGCCGCTGTATTTTGTTATTGACTGCATTTTTAAATAAAAGTTGATCGAATTTGACATGAAAAGTTTTTTTTGCTGTTCGAGTTTTATTGCGATTTAAACCGGGCTTTCCTATAAGTACCAAACAGATCAGGAAAAAAATGAGTCTCGAATAGGAATGGATGCAAAGCGCATTATTAGCCACAAAAGTTGAGAAAAAACATGCTAACTCAATTCAATGGCGCTATGCCGTGTCGTGTCAGTATGCCGAAAATGTGGGAAAATTTTATTTTTATTGTTATTTGAGTTTATATATCTTCAGAACAGCTAGCCGAGTGATTATACAAAAGCAACTCATTACAGGAGGCAACCTAGAACTTCCTACATATCACTTTACTAAACAATTGTCTTTTGTAAACAAACGGGAGACTTCAGCCGCAAAACAGCCACGGTGAAAGACTGGAATTATTTTACTAACAGCAATGCGGTAGCGCTTGAGAGGATGCAACCAATCAAATCAAAGAACACTCTAATTTTTGGCAAACTGACTTACTTCCTCAAACTTATTTTTCGAAACATGTTGACATACAACCATTAGGAAGATCATGTAAATTTGCATTTCTCTGATTTGGTACATCGTTCTCAAAAAATAGGCAGGTTAATCTTGAAACTTAAGCATTGGATGAGATGTAGTAATATCATATTAAAGCCCTTTCAGCCTTGATTTAATTTTTAAAATATCTATCAAAAAAAACTTTTTGAATTTCGGACAAATTTAGAGTGAAGAGGCGCTCAGTTTTTTAATTCATTTTAAGCTGGGGTTGCTTTTTTGTTGTAGTTTTAATACAGCCAATTTTAGTGTGCTTTTGAGCTATTTTTTGTCCCTCTTTGTGTCAGCCACATATTATTTTAGTTTGCAATAGTGTAAATAAGAGTCGATGAGCGTAGTGAAAACTCGTACATAAATCTTTGCAGTTTTTTTTCTTCCAGAAAAGTCTTTAAAATCCTCCGATGACCACAGATGAGCATTCATAGATATTTATGCATTTTTACCCCTGCGATAAGCAAGGGTATTGCAATCGGGTACTAGACTTTTTTTCCCGTAAACAACTTTGTCAACAGGACTCGTGGTACCTTGGTTCATGAATTCAAATTTCTTAGTGTCTCCGGCACACTAAGCCTTGAGGTAACGAATGTGCCTGGAACGCCAAAGGGCGCGGGTTCGAATCTGACTAGGAGCTGTTTTTTTTAATATCCCGGTTCAAAAAAAAAATCTGCTTTTTAATTGTCTGCTTTATTTTATCGGCTTAGGTGCCAGATCTAAGAATCGTTTTTTTCAGTGTAAACAATTTTCACTGTAACTTCTTGAAGTGTTTTAGCGTTTAAAAAAATGAAGTGTTTTAGCGTTTTTGACTTTTTTATCGGGTCAATAAGTTTCGCCTTAATTTATATCTACCGACTGGCCTCTTATTGCGTCATTCGAGGATAGAAACAAGTTCGCGTGCGTGTGCTCTGAGGGGACATGGGACATACTTTTTTTGTCAGCTTAGAATGTTTTTTTTCGGCATGAAAGGTTTCTGCTCAGGTATTTTCGGCTTTATTACAGCATGGAATTCAAAAATTCAAATGCAATCTAACATCTGGCGCAGGGGTAACACAACTGCTTGAGGCCGTTTTTTTGACATAAACGATTTTTTTTTTGATTTTTTTTTGCTAATGTTTCCGTTTGATTTTAATCAAATTTGTATCGCAAGTGGCGCGAAGCTCAGCTTCGCCTCTGTGTGGATTTTACTTCGGTATATATGAAATTTCAGTTTTCAAAATCATCTGCTGAAAGTTAAGTAAATTGCACTCACTAAATACGTACGTGGAAATGGCGCAAAAAGCATGAACTACTTCTAGTTTCAAAATAGGATTTTAGTTTTGCCAGTGGAATAATTTCCACTATCGAACAGCAAACATGTTAAGGTCACAATAAACGTGATCTACTTCTAATTTCGAAAATGTAAATATTTGATCAAATTTCCAAGCTAAATTTAAATTTTACCTGTCGATCCAGTTTTCTCAAATTGAGTTAATTTTATCAAAAAAGTGTCAATCTTATATTCGTCTTTAACTTCAAATATAACCTTCTTAGAATTTCAATACGAACTTTTGATTCACAATTTATTTGATAAAATTAACTCAATTTGAGAAAACTGGATCGATAGGTAAAATTTAAATTTAGGTTGGAAATCTGATCATAAATTTCCATCTTCGAAATTAGGAGTCGATCATGTTTTTTGTGACCTTAAAATTTTTGCAGTTCGATAGTGGAGTTTGCCTTTCTTTCAGCTACAATGTACCAAAACGAAATAGGATTTGAGCTCTTCTTTCATCTTAAAAAATCGCCTTGAAAAATGATAACTTAGCCAACTGACAATTAGAAAAGAAAAATGAACGCAAGGAAACAGACAAAAAACTGACTTGCTTTTTGAAAGTTTCAGCATTAGAATTTGAAAGATAGAAATGATGCCCCTAAAGTTCTTTGAATTTCAAGAACAATATACGATTGGTGCATTTTTGACAAAAAATACCCAAATTGAGAAAAAACCGGTAAACATTGGTAATATAGGATCAATAGGTACATTTTTTATTCCGCTGGGAAATCTTAAAATCAAATTCAACTTTCGAAATTAAAGTCGTTCCTCTTTATTCGTTCGATAACTCTCTTCCTACTGTCTGTTGTCTATGCTTTGTTAGTGCCAGTGAGCGTGGTAAAGACGCTTAAAGAGTTCTTGTTGACGTTTTTTAAGGAAATAAACTTTTTCTGGCAATAATTGTTCAGGCTCAATGATTTTTTTTGCAGTTGACTTTTTGTTTCAATCAGTTCAAATGGCACAGAAAAAAAACAACGAATCGTCCGCACTTTTTTAGTCCGCATTCGTTTCGGCTAGTGATACCATCCACGTCTCTGAAAAAAAGTTTCAAAAACGGATTTTAGTTTTCCGAAATCCCTGCGGAAAAGAACTACATTGATCTGGCTTTTCAAATTGGGTTAGTTTATCAAAAAAATTGTCACTCATGAAAATTATCATGATGTTAGGTATATAGAAAAGTGACTTTCAAGAAAAACTTATAATTTGAGATTATTCGGTATACCTTCTTGACTGATTTTCTGTCTACTGTAATACGATATTTAGGAAGTTGCAATGCAATCTCGTAGTAAACGGATATTGACTTTTAGTTTCAAAAAGGAGGTAGTTTTTTGAGTTCAGAGCAGTTTGGATGAAGTTCATCTAAAAAGTACTGGTTACAAATTTTTCTGTTGATTGAAAGAGCTTAACAGTGAAGTAATTTGTGGCCCGAAAATTTTAATCAGATTTTCTTGCATGCCTAAACGCTTTTTAACTGTCAATGAACGAAGGCAATGCACTTATAGGTCGGGTGGTTTATGCAATGTTTATGAATTTGAGTTTATGCAATGTTTATGAATTTGAGTTAATGCAATGTTTATGAATTTGAGTTTATGCAAGGATGTGAATGTCCACTTTTTAGTCCGCATTCGTTTCGGCTAGTGATACCATCCACGTCTCTGAAAAAAAAACTTTTTGAAATCAAAAAATTTGATGCACTTTCTCGTTGTTTTTTTTTCTTCATTCGAGTGTCTGTAAATTTAAGGAAGTACCCTGCATTGCTAATGGGTTTGTCAGCTGTTATTGTCTTGCTGTAATATATTGCCGATATTGACAAGGCCAGATAGGTAGCGCTCTTGGGTTAGGAACTCTTTGTATTCAGTAGGTGGGGGTATCGCACTTTTTCAATACATATACCTATTGGGGATGGGCTTTCTTGGTTGGATAGTTTTTATTTTCGTTGTAATCTTCAATTGAAGTCCGTTTAATTTCAAACTCATGTTAAGTCAATGATTCACAAATTGTTACAAAAATGCGGGAGTTCCAGATTAGATTTTCCAGTTATGAACACGATAATTATAGACAAATGCTGGAATTCTAAATTTGATCGTTAAATCATGAGTAGATATTTATTATTGTTAATTTATTAATTGAATATGATTAAATGTATGGACGAGAATCTAATTCTTCTATTTTCAGATAATACGTGATGCCTCGCAGACCATCGAGAAGTAGCGTGAGTTGTTTGAACCGGAAGAACCAGGCAGAGTTAGTATGTGGATTAAGGGATCTGAGACATAGCATAGACAAGGTGAATGCTGCTAATCTGCAGTGTAAACCAACTCTGGATAGTATCAACCAGATACACTCCAAACTGGCAGTAACTGACGGACCGAAGACCATTTCTACAAGCCAGGTTAGAACGCCGTTCTTTCGTCTGTAATAAAGTTTGTCGAGTTTGTTGTACCTGGAGATGAAATGGAAAAAGTATAGTTATTGCTAAAATCCCAACACAAGGGGTGAAGGTTGAATATTCAATTTGTAAACTTCATCTATTTAAAAAAAGAAACGGATGCCCGTATACTCTTCGACGCATCCAGTTTTTGCAGTTCAGTGAAATTTGTTATATCACATTTTTTGACATGAATGCTTGATAGCTGGTGTTTAGGCCTCCAAGTTGACGCAGTTGACCGAACAGGCGTTGGAAGAAAGTGAAGTCGAAATAGAGATTCTCAAGTCGACCCTGGCTGAGATCAACAAACTAAAGGAGCTAAGAGGTTAATTTTTCACAAAATAATTTGTTTTTCGACACTTGATTTACAGTTTCAAAAAAGCCCTCGTATTGGTTCTATTTTATGACCTTTCAAGTCTTAAGCGTAAATTAGTGACAGAATAAACGATGATCTAGGAGGCACTTAGCTTAGTGGTAAGACGTTCACTTTGAGATCATCAGATCGTGTAATATATCCCCCGCCATGGCAGTGATAGTGTGTGAGGATGAGCTCTCATTTGACCTTTAGGTTCAGGTCTACCACAGCGTGACCAGTTTCGGCTGCAATAGTGGTAGCACGTGAAAGTTCAAGATCCAAAAAAGCCCTGAGTCGCAAAAAAAAAGATTTCCTCAACACAATAACTTAGTCTAGAATGTGGGGGAAATTAGAGAAACCGACTTTGCTTAGACAGGCTGGATAGCCTTTCCTAATTCCTCTGCAAATCACAGAAACCACATTTATTGATATTATTAACTCCAAATTGAAATAATTTAATAACTACATGACACAAGATTAGCCGGTACTCAAGAAAGCAAACTTAGGTTTTCGTTGTGATGATCCGCATTTCAACAGTAGTTTACTGAGTATTGCGGCTTCTCTCATGAACGATATTATACTTTAAGGCGATAAAAGACACTACTTGATGCCTTGCTCCAATCGACCTGCCGACCATTCAAGCTCCGATTCTTCCGAGTCCAATGCCGTATCTTTGCTATCATCATCGGTTTTGGAACCCCTATCAATTCTCAGTCCACGTCGCACTATGCGAAGAGGTGCTTTGATGACATTGCTGAGAGAGAATGCGCTTTCGCTGCCATTGTACACTGGACCTCCTGATGAAAACTTGCCCCCGTTGTGTGGTGCTGTGCCTGCGGACTGTTCTTATGTCGTTCCAGTTGGTCATTATGTCGCGGCAAAAGTCAAGGTTAGTTGGATCTATATGCACTCAGTTGAATGATTGAATCTAAATGCACTCACTCGATAATTTGACCCAAACATTTCCGGATAGTGTTTTTAATTTTGAATTTACTCAGTTATCTTCCGATCATTGTTTGGTAAGTTTACTCTGTTACACTACTTACAAAAATCGTCCACTCTCGCTTCCTTTTTTAACCAAGTTCAAGACCCGCATAATGAGATCACACCTCTTACGAATTTAAGACTGGACACCTCAGATTATTACCCCCGCTGCTTTTACTTGGAACCGCATTTGTCAATAGTTTTCTCTATATCAGTTATATGCAACTCGTTCTAGACTAACGACGAAGACATAGTACTTTCCCCGGCCTTCAACGCCAAACGGACTAGTGAGCCCTCCCCTGGTGACCTGCACTCCACAACCTCCTCTGCCCTGTCCTCAGGGGGTTCAGCTGTGTCCTTTTGCTCTGCTGTGAAGTTGGAAGAGAGTCAAACCACGAATGAGAACTGGATTCTAGCCGAGTGTGCAGGCTTCAATAACCTCGGAAATAACAAATACGAGGTGAATGAAGTCTTTTATCGAACCAAATTATTTCCCATTTATTACGACCATTCCAAGTGGCTAAGATTTTTCTTTCACTTTTTTCTTATGCTCGAAAAATCAGGCACCAGAAATAAACTTCAAATATATCGAGTGATATATGATATTAAAGTCCTTTCAACGAGGATTCGGTCGGTAGTCAGGCTTGCGATTAGCATTCGTTATCAAATCGGAACATTGATTTTTTTTTTCAATCGGAACATTGAATTGTCTAACAATCTTTTTCTGAAATATGTACTTTCGTCAACCATCCGACATATTTTTGAGCAAGTCTGCATTTTAAATACTCGTTCTATTCCTAATTAGTTGTTTTCTATGTCAAATGTGAATTTAGAAATTCCAATTTTATATATTTTTTGATTTTATTTTCATCCAAATGGTCTCAGCTCATCACACATGCGTAGCGAAATAGAGTACTTAAAGGCTGCATTTTTTCCAACTTCAATCGCAATTATTCGTTCTATTTTTGGTGGATTTTTTGGAGCAGAGGGCTGAATTGGCTATTTGATAGCATTTTTTTGACATTTGATTACTACTGAGTTAATTACACAAGCTTGTGTTATAGTATGAACTCTCTTTTTTTTCCAACCTAAGTCGCAAATTTTGTTGCGACAAAATGTGTTAGTTTTTGATCAATAACCAGCTTTTAAGTACAGCCAGTGCTAAGGATGTTAACACAGACTATTATATTACAAATAGCACTTTAGCTTCAAGGTATCATGGATCTGTACCGTAGAAGCAGGGAAGGAGACCCGCAAAAAATAAGAGGGTTCGAACCTGGCCATGGTCGGATGTTTTTAATGAACTTTTTCGTATAACTAGCCAAAATGCGTCCGCTCTATAAATTGGGACATGTTAGTTGGCAACTTTCTTTTTTTTAAAATTAACTGGTACTGCTAATGTGTCATAATTGGCTTGCGTCACTTAGCAATTATGTAGACTCATAATTGGCGTGTGTCACTCCAGAAGTTTTGTAGACTCAAAGTTTAACTCATTCAGTTTTTCCCAGTAGCGTTATTAGTCATAATTTTGCTTGTGTATGCGGAGTGCAACTTCGCCTCTGTGTACAATTGATGCATTTTAAGTTTTTTTTTCATACAATAGTGCAATCATAAAAACTCCCTTCCAGAAATTTCCCAACTAAGGTGTTTCGCGAAATGCATTAGTTATACACAATTTGGCTTCAGGCTTTTGAATTTGTTTCATGCAAAGTTAGTGTTGTTGCGTTTAGTTCATCACATGCCAACTTCGGTTTTTTTTTTTCATTTTGAAGCACGTTTTTCCCGCTTTCTCATTTGTTTTTGGTTTCGTTTGTTTTTGGTTTCTTAAATAAGTTTTTTCATTTTATTTTTTTACCCTTTTAAAGACTCTTTTTGCCCCTTTTTTGCTTTGTTTGCGATGCGCAGCCGCGCTTTTCTGTTTTATATCGGCCTAGTAGCTTCCTATTGCGTCAATTGATAAGAGAAAAAAATGGTAGGCCTGTGAAGGTGAATTTTTTGTGAGTTTCAGTTTTCTCGGCTCGAGAGGGTCAGCTAAAGTTTTTTCATCTTGATATTTAGTTCTTTTTTGGATATTCTTAAAAAATTTTTAATTTATCGGCTTTCGTCGTTATTTCTATCGTCTGGTTTGCTATGCAGTTTTAAACAGGCCTTGAACAGGTAGCATTTTGCGTACGTTTTTTACTCGAAAATTATTTATTTTGTTGGTTATGAACGTTTTTCTTGCTAGTGCTTAGTGTCTATGATGTAACACTCCAACGAAGAATTGGTTGAGGCAGCCCACCAACTCACAGGCAAGGCAACCGAAAAACGTATAAAAAATTATCGTTCAAAATTCTTTTATTTTATGATTAGTAGTAATTTATTAGGTTGTAGTAAACTCAACAAGAATAACAAACTTATCTTGTTAGTGACGTTCTTCTCAGATGGTTTTCACATGATCGGTCGATTGTACAATCAAGTTTACTAGCTCAAATACCCAATCAAAACGAAAAATTCACTTTCGGCTGATGATTTGTTTCAGCAGAATATAGGATTCGATAGTTTTTATCTTGATTTTGCCCCGGTCTGCTGTTTTTTTTCGTCGAAACCTTTTCTTTAACATGCTTGACTTGAGACCTAGCATCTCTTAACAATGCAGTTTTCCTTTTAATTGCTGGAACCTCCAGTGAAACCAGCTCGTCTTTGTTATGTACGCGATCATGTGACGTCGATGCTTCATCATTGTTAACCAATACATAATATAGAAGCAGTAATTGTTTTTAGCAGTGTGATCATTGCAATGCTATTAGCGGTCGGCCTAATATCTACTTCTCGTCTAGCAGGCCTCTGCGAAACATAGATATGTTTATTGTTAGCTAAATTTCAATTTTTTTTTCTCAATTTGTGCCATTCCCTGAAAAACTGTGTCCTTGTCAGCACTAGTTTTCATTTTGAAACTAATGGCATTTATACATCCTCTTTCCTTTTCGGGAAGTATATGAGACGCTTTAATTCGATAACGTTAATTTGATGTCCAGGAGATGTTACATCTTGTGTATCTTGCATCGAATGTCGTGTTGTATCAGAAGACAGTCTTTGTTCGTATATCTCTCTTTAGTCGAAACTATCGTTTTTACTGCTTTCTTTTTTTCTCTAAAACTTCACAATTTTTTCTCCTGCTCACTAGTCAAAACTTAAATTTCAATTTTCATCAACATCACTTACATCTAAAATCACATTTTTAGCTCTACTCACGACCCTGTTCTTGGTCTCCGTCTCCGTCTTTTCCACCCTAACAACTTACTCAGCTTTGTGCATGATAATACATTTGCTAAGTGTGCAAAAAATTTCAAGAAATAGACGAAAATTTTTTAAGGAAATTTTTATCACTTCAGCCAGGTTTCTTTATTATAGTCGGTTAACAGAGGATTTTTCAGGTTTTGGGTGATTAGAATTATTTCAAAGGTTTTAGTGCATGAGTCTTTCAAGTTTCAAATGCGACGAAAGTTTGATAGTCGAAGACTGCATCTTCAAAAGGTTTTCTTATTTCTTTCTCGGCAATTTCCTTGGTGATTAGATTCTAGATATTGACGAAGACAACAAGGAGTGTGCTAGACATGTGCTGGGCAAGAGAAGAGTGGTGCCTCTGCCCTTGATGAAGGCAGATCCTCTTGTACATCCAAGGGCCGTCTACCAGAAAGGTATTTTCGAATTAAGAGATAAAAAATAATGATCATAATTTAATTCCAAATCAAGTCATTACAGGTATAAACTTAGAAATAAGGAGTTATATTACAAAAACATCATTTGAGAGCGCCATACGACTACTATTTAGCCTGTTTTCAAGCGTTTGAGATGCAATATAGTCGTTCTTATATCACTATGTATCTATATAAAAATTCAATTTTACGACGCCTATCTAACCTCATAAACAATAACCATAAGAAATTAAGAACGTGAAAATGTTTGTCTCTATTCGGTTCAAATTATTTAATTTTGAACTTATAGAATGAATAATTGAACGCAGAAGTTTAAACAGTAACTACATCTTGCTCTCATCTCTCTTTGTTTCACCTGTCATATTGCATCGTTTGATGGCAAAAAAACTCCTGTGTTTTCTTGTTCGCAGGGGCGCGAGTCATGGCTCTCTACCCTCAGACGACCTGTTTTTATTCGGCAGTTGTACACGACATACCGCAACATGCCACAGACGAGTACCGAGTATTGTTTGAAGACTCCTCTTACAGAGACGGCTACTCGCCTCCTCTCTGTGTTCCTGTTAAGTTCGTAGTCTCAGTTAAAGAACCGTCTAGCAGAAAAAAATGATTCGCTCTTTTAGCCTAAAGGGACAGGAGGCTTAAAGACGCCATAGGAGCATGATTGAGTAGCTGTAAAGATGATACCATCATTTCGAGGAGTTTGACTGCTCGTCGAATTGTTGTTCTGGAATGTTGACGCAAATTTCAGATGGAGGCAATAGCGGTCTCAAAACTTTACAAAAGTGTATAAAAGTTACGCGGTGATGCGAAACTCTTTGATTGAAATAAAAGCTTAAATTCACCTTTCCATATGTGGCAGTACAATTAGTACCGTATTTAATTATATCAAGGTCGGCAAAATAGTTTTTTTTTGGGCTCAGCATTGTTGTCATTATAACTTAAGTGCCAAAAAATACAATTTGAATAAAATGCAAATAACTTGTTGATTGAAAACTACAAATTGTCCAAAACGTAACATATTCTGTTCATAATATCAATTTTCATTTGATTAATTATCTATGAACAAAATTAAAATGTTTTCCAAGTCATACTGACTTACGCAAGTCATACTGGCAAATAAAATGTTTTTTTTTTTAAATCCTTTTTTCAATTTTTAAAAATTTAAATTGAGTTGATTATTTGAAACCAAAAAATTAAATTTTCACGATGAATTGCGGATAAGTTTTTTTTTCTCGCAAAGTCGAATCTTGGCCAAAATTTGTAGTTTTCTGCTCTTTGAATAAATATAACGGCAAGCTTGCGAGCATCGTTTTATAAGCTCGTTCCACTTTTTCTGCAACCAAAGTGCACGACTCTTAGTTTCGAAAGCGGATATTGTTTTAGATTTCCCAGCGGAATAAAGAATTAGAATATTGATCCAGTTTTTTCAAATGGGATTATTGCTTTCAAAAATTTCTTTAAGAATTGTTCTCGAAATTCAAAAGGGTTTAAGGCCATACATTTTTTTTTGAAATTCGAAAGTAGAAATTTTTCAAAAAAACAAGTATGTTGTCAATGTTTTTGGTCCCGCACAAAATTTGATTCCGCAGGAATTCTTTTCAAGCTGAAAAGAAACATTTTTGCCAAAAGAAAGGAAATTGCAAGTGGTGCCGAAAAATGAATGACTTAGGGCTCAAAATTATGTTTTTAGGTTAAAAGAACGCTGATTTTTCGCAGTCAGACGTTTGAATTTTTTTTAGTAAGTTCAGCCGTTTCCTTTGTTAAAAGGCAGGCAATCTCAACTATTAAAAAGCAAAAGTGTTAATAACACGAAAAACTTGAATGACTTCTAGTTTCAAAGCGACTTTAATTTTCTGAATTTCTAATGGAATAAAATATTACCAATAGATCCAGTTTTCTCTAAATCGGATAGCTTCAAAAAATTCCCACATCTAATCAGCTTACATTTTTCCAACCATCTGATGACTAGGTTAGTTTCTCCAGTCATGGCAACTAGGTCTATAATTACACTAGCGTCCGCTTAGTGTATTATTAAGAACCTTCCTTTTTTTTTAAACCTAAGTCACAAATTTTGGTGCCATTTTTTGGTCATCTTTACAGCTTTTTGATAGCACGTGCTTTGGCATTCGAATAGTAACGAGTTAACACATCAAATGAACCGAAAATAGCTATTTGTTTCAAACAACATAATGATGATAAAAATTTCGATTTCAGAAATTTTTTGACTCAATATAACCCGCAATCTTTTGACATTCATAATTTATACTTGATGTGGCCATTCTTTGAGATTTCTTACATGCAAAGTTAGTGTGGATGCCTTCAGTTTTTTATTTTCCAAATTATTACTTAACTAGTGTCTTTTTGTATGTGGTGGCACTTTTGCGGAATTGCATTGGCAATTTATTAGAATGTACCTACTTTATTCGAGACTAGAGTTTGTCGGTGGTTAAGCGTGTGTGGCTGAGTGGTTAGTGCGTAAAACTCACTATCTCTTAATTGCAGTAAGTCGCAGATCAAATCCTAGACCTAGCCTAATTTTTGCTAATTCGAGGCTTATTTCTATTTTTCTTATTGCACTTTCTAAAGCTGTCATTTTTGTCATGTTTTGTCATGTTTGCTACTGTTTGCGAAGCTAAGCTTCGCCTCTGTGTGTGATTTCACATTTAGCCTCTTTAAGGAGTTTGAAAAAACCTATAGCACGCCATCACTGCTTCGATTAATTTCTCTTTTGATGAATTACGTGGTTTAAATTTAACCGATTTTCTGGTCTAACTGAAATCAAGCTTTATATATTTTAATATCTTATGGTGAACGCGTAATTGCGAAAACCTTCAGCTGGTGAAGTAGTCCCGCTCGCATACCAATTCTTTATTTTCATGAGGAAATTATATACTTATTAGTTAGTTTTTGGAGGCTAGTTTTAATCTCTTTTCTTCCCTTTCATTTCTCTTCTCCCCTTTCCAACCGAAACATTCAACACCGTTCTTTTTATTTTGTAAACAATATTGCTGAATTTGGAAGTTTCTGTGCTACTTGCTCAGGAACAAGCTATTTGTATTTAATTAGCCTCTAGTGTTTCCAGTCGAAAAAATCGGAAGTTAGTTTGTTTCAGTGTATAGTTGCGTTGGGTCTAGAACAAACATGATATGTGCAGTAGTTTCATATTAAAAATTGGCCAGAAAATCGTTTTTAAGAGAGCGATAGAAATAGGATCTTTGCCCTACTTTTTGAACAATATCGGATCTTAGCCATACTTAAGTTTTTCACATGTTTGCAATAGTTTTACACCAGCTCACGAGATGAAGTGCTAATTTGCTAGCACTTTTGCTAGCTTTAAATATTATTTGACGTATCTGCTAAATTCTTGGCTTGTGATCGACGATTTTCAAGCGACCTCCAGGTCGAAGTGGGACGTCGCTATATGTCAAAGTTATATTTTTAACATTGACATTTAAATAGCTTCTTCTGTATCTTCTAAATTGGTGATTGTATTTGTTGATCGACAAGCGACCATTGTGCAGATGCGCTGAGATGAGACTCGTAGTCTCCAGATCTTGGGTTCGATTTCGGCACTAGTTTAATTTTTCTATTTTTTTAAACTCATTTCATTGTTTTTCGCCGTTTTATTGCTTGTTTGGAAAATGCTGATTGAAATTGCTGTTCGATGTTTGACATATCTAATTTTTATGTGATGATTCTTTTGTCTCTCTTTTGGCTGTTTTATGTTGTCAACCTCAGGCATCTCGATTTTAGAAGCTTTTTCTTTGGGTCTAATTTTTGGTACAAATGGTAGATTTCTTTGGCTTAATGGCACCTGCTACATTTTTGTTAGCTTTTTTGCCCAAAATAATCTTTGCCTGACACTTTTTCTTGTTTTTCTGCCAGTTTCCGAACCACATTGTTGTAAGAGATGGGTCTAGTGTTTTTCTTAAAATTGGGTCAGTTTGCTTTAAAGTTTGAATAAGAAATTACCTATCTAGTCGGAGGGACAAAGTATCTGAAAAAAAAATATTTTCATTCTTTCGCTGATCAATTTTTTTAATGAAAATCTATCCATTTTTGTGGGTTTTCTTTTGACAGCCGTTTTTAATGTTACATCTAAAAGATTTCTGTATTCTGTTGTTTTATGATAATTGTAGATCCAGTCAGTGCATTGGAAAATGTTTGAAACAAAGACCGAAGCTCAGGAAATTTTCCAAATTATATAAATCGTAGATTGATGTTTTTAAGATAGCGAAGTTAGTTTTTGTCTTATTAAATAAAATTCCGTCATTTTCCTGTGTCTGCTTTAGACCTGCATTTTGTAATCATGTTTAGTGGCATATTTAGGGGGGGGGGCTTTGTGCGATGTTACGAAGTCCACAGTTTTACCAAACCAACTCACAAGATAGTGCTAATTTGCTAGCGTTTATGCTTGCTTTAAATCTTATGTGACTTATCTGCTATATTCTTTAGTGTTTGACGATTGCTACCGTGGCGCTGATGGGAGGACGGTAACCTCTAAATCTCCATTTCCAGTTGGGACTTCGCTTCATGTCCAAAGTTATATTTTTAACGTTGACAATGAAATAACATCTTTTGTATCTTCTATATTGGTGATTTTTTTTGCTGACTGACAAACGACTCTTGTGCAGATGGGTGAGGCGAAACTGGTAGTCTCCAGATCTTAAGTTCGATTTCGTCGCTAGTTTCAATATTCTAGTTTTTTTCTACTTAGTTCATTGTTTTACCTTTTTTTCGCCGTTTTGTTGCTTGTTTGCAAAGTGCAGCTTGACGTAGCTAAGTTCGATGATTGACGTATGTATTTTTAACGTGATGGTTGTTTTGTTTGTCTCTCAATTGGCCGTTATATGTTGTCAACCTCAGGCATCTCGATTTTAGAAGCTTTTTCTCTGGGGCTAATTTTTAGTACAAATGGTACATTTTTTTGGCTTAATGGCGCCTGCTACATTTTTCTTAGTTCTCTTGTCCAAAATAAGCTTTGCCTGACACTTTTTCTTGTTTTTCTGCCAGTTTCAGAACCACATTGTTGTAGGAGTTAGGTCTAGTGTTTCTTTTTAGAATTGGGTCGCTTTGCTCTTAACTCTCACTAGGGAATTGTCTACCTTTTCAGAGGGACAAAATTTCTGAATTAATTTTCATTCTTTTGACAGCCTTTTTAAGGTTACATCTAAAAGACTTAGATGTGCTCTTGCCTTATGATAATTGTAGATCCAGTCAGTGCATTGAATCTTTTTCAAAAAATTGACTGAAGCTCAGGAATTTTTCTTCATTTATATCAATCGTAGTTTGACTTTTTTAAGTTAGTGAAGTTTTTTTTTTCATAAAGTTCCGTCGTTCTCCTGTGTCTGCTTTAGACCTGCATTTTGTAAACATATTCAGGGGCAGATTTTTTTGAGGGGGCGTAGTGTCATGTTGCGAAGTCCACGGTTTTATTAAACCAACTCACAAGATGCTATCTTTAAATCTTATATGACTTTTCTGCTATGTTCTTGGCTGGTGCTAGATAATTTTCAAGCTAACGTCGCGCAAATGGAAGGACGGTGACATCTTAAGCTCCAGGTCAAGCTGGGACTTCGCTACATGTCCAAAGTTATATTTTTAACATTGACAATTAAATAGCATCTCTTGTATCTTTTGATATTGGTGATTGTGTTCAGTGATCGACAAGGGATCATTGTGCAGATGCGGTGAGGTGAAACTCGTAGTCTCCAGACCCTGGCCTCGGTTTCGGCACTAGTTTCATTTTTCTATTTTTTAACTGATTTTATTGTTTACCTTTTCGCCGTTTTATTGCTTGTTTGCAAAGTGCTGCTTGACATAGCTCGATGTTCGATGCTTGACATATGTTCGATGTTTGACATATGCTATTTATTCATGTGGTGATTATTTTCTTGTATCTTTTGGCTGTTTTATGTTGTCAACCTCGAGCATCTCGATTTTAAAAGCCTTCTCATTGGGTCTAACTTCTGGTACAAATGATACATTTTTTATGCTTAATGGCGCCTGCAGCCTTTTTGTTAGCTCTTTTGCCCAAAATCATGTTTGCTTGAAATTTTTTCTTGTTTATGTGCCAGTTTGAGAACAAAATTGTTTTAGAAGATGCGTCTAAGGTTTTTTCTACCTAGAATTGGGTCTATTTGGTCCTAACTCTTACGAAGAAATTGCCTACCTTTTCAGAGGGACAAAATCTTTCAAAAAATTTTTCGTTCTTTTGCTAGTCAAATCTATCTATTTTCGTGAGTTTTCTTCTGACAGCATTTTTAATGTTACATCTGAAAGACTTAGATGTGCTGTTGCTTTATGATCATTGTAGATCGAGTCAGTGCATTGAATCTTTTTTTGAAAAATGACTGAAGCTCAGGAAGTTTTCTAATGTGTCTGCTTTAGATCTGCATTTTGTAATCATATTCAGGGGCAGGTTTATGGGGGGTTGTAGAGTCTTGTTACGAAGTCCACAGTTTTACCAAACCAACTCACAAGATAGTGCTATTTTGCCAGCACTTTTGCTAGCTTTAAATCGTATATGACTTATCTGCTAAGTTCTTGGCTGGTGTTTGTTGATTTTCAAGCTACCGTGGCGCAGATGAGAGGACGGTAACCTCATAGTCTCCTGATTGAGGCGGTACTTCGCTACATGTTATAGTTATAGTTTTAATATTGACAATTAAATAACATCTTCTGTGTTTTTTATATTAGTGGTTGTATTTGCTTATCGACAAACGACCATTGTGCAGATGCGGTGAGGTGAGTCTCGTAGTCTCCAGACCCTGGGTTTGATTTCGGTACTAGTTTCATTTTTCTGTTTTTTAAGTTATTTTGTTGTTTCCGATTTTACCTTTTCATCATATATCCGATTTTACCTTTTCGCCGTTTAATTGCTTGTTTGCAATGTTTGACATATCTATTTTTTACGTGGTGATTTTTTGTCTCTCATTTGGCTGTTATATGTTGCCAACCTCAGGCATCCGATTTGAGAAGCATTTTCTCTTTTTGGTACAAATGATACATTTTTTTGGCTTATGGCGCCTGCTACATTTTTGTTGGCTCTTATGCCCCAAATCATCTTTGCTTGAAATTTTTTCTTGTTTCTCTGCCAGTTGCAGAACAAAATTGTTGTAGGATATGCGTGTATTGTTTTTTCTCAGAACAGGATTTATTCGATCGTAACTGTTACGAAGAAATTGTCTACCTTTTCTGAGAGACAAATTATTTGAAAATGTTTTCGTTCTTTGCTGGTCAATTTTTTATGGAAATCTATCGTTTTTTTGTGGGTTTTCTTTTGCCAGCAGTTTTTAATGATTCATCTAAAAGACTTCGTTATGATGTTGTTTTATGATAATTGTAGATTGCGTCAGTGCATTGAATCATTTTTTAAAAATGACTGAAGCTCAGGAAATTTTCTTAATTTATATCAATCGTTGATTGATGTTTTTACGATAGTGAAGTTGGTTTTTCGTGTTATTAAATATTCCGTCGTTCTCCTGTGTGTCTTAGACCTGCATTTTGTAATCATAATCAGGGATGGATTTAGGGAAGATCTAGGCTCCCCTTCTGCTCAGGGAGTCGACCCATTTACCAACCAGAGGGTCCCCCCTTTGATATTATTTTACATCCCTATTCGGCCAACTATTCTTAAAAGTTTTCAAAGGCTCCTATATGTAAAGGCCAATATGTACTAATTTTACGCCAAACAATCTTGTTAAATTTTTCTAAAAGCGTCTTCGAAGCCAATATGTACTAATAACTACCTAAAAGGCATTTTGGCCTGTTTTTTCTAAAAACCGCCTTAGATGCAGAACTTCTGGTAAAAAAAAGGTGTTTGTAGTTTTCTGGGAGTGCTCGGAAAATCAATTTGGGCGACTTAGAAAAAGGGTCGACAAAGTTTTGAAACTTTTTTTTCGAAAATGAGGCACTTCCCCTCGAGAAATTATTAGATCCGCCCCTGGTCGTAATTTGCAAGTTTTTTAACGTATAATTCAAAAACTGAAGACTCGGATTATAGAACTATTTATTTCTTATCGGACTCACATTCCCTTGTTTTTTTCTTAAGTTTTGGATGTCTTGGTTTTGATGTTGTTCTTAAGTGTCTAAAACTGAGATTTGATACGATAAAATATAGAAATTAAATTTGCATGAGAATTTTTTTGAAACTGCCCGTGTTCAGCCTCACGCTGTTTTAAATAACAAAAAGCTCTCGAGTTGATAAAAATTATTTAAAGTAAGTTATATGCACGTGGAGCTACTTGCTCACTAACTGTTGCGAATCAGGTAAATAAGTATATTTTTGAAATACCTTTGAATTACTTTCTTATTGAGTTTTGAAGTACCTTTTCATATTCGATTGATATTCTGGTTGATTTGGTATTGTGAACAAAAAAGTATTTTAATTGTTTGCTACAATTTTTTTTAACTATGACGAGATCCGAAAAAAAATATTCAGCTGGCTCTAATCAGACTGAGCCTGTCAGTTTTTTGTTTTCTATTGTGAAAGCTGTTGTTTTCAATAAGACAAATACAGTTGCTGTGAATAAAAAATACAACATAAATGCAGAAAGTTGAATTAATAATCAGCCCGTGAACAACGTTACAATTAATTTTTGTCCTCTATTCGAAATTACTTAAAACGATTATCAATGTCAAGATTTTATTTATGACGCTGTTTCAAACGATGGATTTCCAATTTTGGTTGATTTTTTTCTGCCTTTTGATAACATGGACTGCGTACGCGGAGTTGGAAGAGCCCTTTCTGCTGGGGTTCGGGCCAAAACACGGGGACTCGATCAACAGCAAGCAACTAGATGGGTGCTCAGAAGAGCAAGTTTTCAGCCACAGTTTTCGAATCGGATTCAATCGATATAAATCAACATACGTTTGTATGAATGGATATCTGGCATTTGGCAGACCATACTACGCGTACGATCCTAACAGTTTCAACATACCATACTCACCGCCACCTTGTGATCCTCCAATTATTACTACTACGGCACCGTATATTACCATATCCAATACGACTACGTCCAACAATCTCACAAGCACTGAGGTTCCCTCCAACACGACTACGTCCAACAATCTCACGAGCACTGAAACTCCATCCAACACGACTACGTCCAACAATCTCACGAGCACTGAGGCTCAATCCAACACGACTACGTCCAACAATCTCACGAGCACTGAGGCTCCATTCAACACGACTACGTCCAACAATCTCACGAGCTCTGAGATCCCATCCAACACGACTTCGTCCAACAATCTCACGAGTACTGAGGCTCCATCCAACATGACTACGTCCAACAATCTCACGAGCACTGAGGCTCCATCCAACACGACTACGTCCAACAATCTCACGAGCACTGAAGTTCCATACAACACGACTACGTCCAACAATCTCACGAGCACTGACGTACCGAACAACGCGACATCATTCTCCAATCTCACGAGCTCTGAGGCGCCAAACAGCAACACTACGTCCTTCAACACTGAAGACCCCTTCAACACCTCGGCTTCTGTTGTGTACACCAGCTCAGAGATGAGGTACAGCACTGAAGTGCCACTCAATTCCTCGACGTCATTTGAGTATGCCAGCTCTGAAATGCCATACAATACTGAAGTACCACTAAACATCTCAACCTTCTATCAAAACGCCAGCTCTGAGATGCCATACAGCACTGAAGTGCCACTCAATGTGTCGACTTCCTATGAGTATGCCACCTCGGAGATGCCATACAGCACTGAAGTGGCTCACAACACCTCGTTGTTCTATGAGTATTCAAGCTCTGAGATGCCATACAGCACTGAAGGAACCTTTAACACCTCGACTTCCTCTGAGTTCGCCAGTTCTGAGATGCCATACAGCTCTGAAATGCCACTCAATACCTCGACGTCGTTAGAGTATGCCAGCTTTGAAATGCCATACAGTACTGAATTGCCAGTAAACACGTCGATATCTTCTGAGTATGCTAGCTCTGAAATTCCATACAGTACTGAATTGCCAGTAAACACGTCGACATCTTCTGAGTATGCCAGCTCTGAAATGCCATACAGCTCTGAAGTGCCAGTAAACACCTCGGCATATTCTGCGTACGCTAGTTCTGAGACACCATACAGCAGTGAAATGGCATTCAACGCCTCGACGTCCACTGAGTACGCAAGTTCTGATATGCCCTATAGCTCTGAAACGCCCTTCAATACCTCGACGTCGTTTGAGTATGCCAGCTCTGAAATGACATACAGTACTGAGTTGCCAATAAATACCTCGACATCTTCTGAGTATGCCAGTTCTGATCTGCCATCCAGCACTGAAGTGCCACTCATTACCTCGACTCCATACGAGTATGCCAGCTCTGAGATGCTGTACAGTACTGAAGTACCACTAAACACCTCGACATCTTCTGAGTACGCCAGTTCTGAGATACCATATAGCTCTGAAATGCCCCTCAATTCCTCATCGTTTTATGGGTACGCCAGCTCTGAGATACCATACAGCAGGGAAATGGCCTTCAATGCCTCAACGTCCACTGAGTACGCAAGTTCTGATATGCCCTACAGCACTGAAGTGCCACTCAATACCTCGACGTCATTTGAAATTGCTAGCTCTGAGATGCCGTACAGTAATGAAGTGCCACCCAATACCTCGACGTCATTTGAGTACGCTAGTTCTGAGATGCCATACAGCACTGAAATGCCAGTAAACACCTCGACATCTTCTGAGTATGCCAGTTCTGAGATGCCATACAGCACTGAAATGCCAGTAAACACCTCGACATCTTCTGAGTACGCCAGTTCTGAGATACCATATAGCTCTGAAATGCCCCTCAATTCCTCGTTTGATGGGTACGCCAGCTCTGAGATACCATACAGCAGTGAAATGGCCTTCAATGCCTCAACGTCCACTGAGTACACAAGTTCTGATATGCCCTACAGCACTGAAGTGCCACTCAATACCTCGACGTCATTTGAAATTGCTAGCTCTGAGATGCCGTACAGTACTGAAGTGCCACCCAATACCTCGACGTCATTTAAGTACGCTAGTTCTGAGATGCCATACAGCACTGAAATGCCAGTAAACACCTCGACATCTTCTGAGTATGCCAGTTCTGAGATGCCATACAGCACTGAAATGCCAGTAAACACCTCGACATCTTCTGAGTATGCCAGTTCTGAGATGCCATACAGCTCTGAAATGCCACTCAATACCTCGACGTCGTTTGAGTATGCCAGCTCTGAGATGCCATACAGTACTGAATTACCAGTAAATACCTCGACATCTTCTGAGATGCTGTACAGTACTGAATTACCACTAAACAACTCGACCTCCTATCAAAACGCCAGCTCCGAGATGCCATACAGCTCTGAAGTGCCAGTAAACACCTCGGCATATTCTGAGTACGCTAGTTCTGAGACACCATACATCAGTGAAATGGCATTCAACGCCTCGACGTCCACTGAGTACGCAAGTTCTGATATGCCCTACAGTTCTGAAACGCCCTTCAATACCTCGAAGTCGTTTGAGTATGCCAGCTCTGAAATGCCATACAGTACTGAATTGCCAATAAATACCTCGACGTCGTTTGAGTATGCCAGCTCTGAAATGCCATACAGTACTGAATTGCCAATAAATACCTCGACATCTTCTGAGTATGCCAGTTCTGAGATGCCATACAGCACTGAATTGCCAGTAAACACCTCGACATCTTCTGAGTATGCTAGATCTGATATGCCATTCAGCACTGAAGTGCCACTCATTACCTCGACTCCATACGAGTATGCCAGCTCTGAGATGCCATACAGTACTGAAGTACCACTAAACGCCTCGGCATCTTCTGAGTACGCTAGTTCTGAGATACCATACAGCAGTGAAATGGCATTCAACGCCTCAGCGGTCACTGAGTACGCAAGTTCTGATATGCCCTACAGCACCGAAATACCATTTAACACCTCGACATCTTCCGGCCACTCCAGTTTTGAGATGCCATACAGCTCTGAAAAGCCCCTCAATACCTCGTCGTCCCATGAGTACGCTAGTTCTGATATGCCCTACAGCACTGAAGTGCCACTCAATACCTCGACGTCATATGAGTATGCTAGCTCTGAGATGCTGTACAGTACTGAAGTACCACTAAACACCTCGACATCGTCTGAATACGCCAGTTCTGAGATACCATATAGCCCTGAAATGCCCCTCAATACCTCATCGTTTTATGAGTACGCCAGCTCTGAGATACCATACAGCAGTGAAACGGCCTTCAATGCCTCAACGTTCACTGAGTACGCAAGTTCTGATATGCCCTACAGCACTGAAGTGCCACTCAATACCTCGACGTCATTTGAAATTGCTAGCTCTGAGATGCCGTACAGTACTGAAGTGCCACCCAATACCTCGACGTCATTTGAGTACGCTAGTTCTGAGATGCCACACAGCAGTGAAATGGCATTCAACGCCTCAACGTCCACTGAGTACGCAAGTTCTGATATGCCCTACAGCACCGAAATACCACTTAACACCTCGACGTCTTACGGTTACTCTAGTTCTGAGATGCCATACAGCACTGAAATGGCCTTCAACGCCTCAACGTCCACTGAGTACGCTAGTTCTGATATGCCCTACAGCACTGAAGTGCCACTAAACACCTCGACATCTTCTGAGTACGCCAGTTCTGAGATGCCATACAGCTCCGAAATGCCACTCAATACCTCGACATTTTATGAGTACGCCAGCTCTGTGATGCCATACAGCACTGATGAGGCACTCAACACCTCAACGTCAACTGAGTACGCTAGTTCTGATATGCCCTACAGCACTGAAGTGCCACCAAGCACTTCGACATCTTCTGAATACGCCAGTTCTGAGATGCCATACAGCTCCGAAATGCCACTAAACACCTCGACATCCTATCAAAACAACAGCTCTGAGATGCCATACAGCACTGAAGGTGCATTCAACACGTCAACATCTACAGAGTACGATAGTTCAGATATGCCCTACAGCACTGAAGTGCCACTAAACACCTCGACAATTTCTGAGTACGCTGGTTCTGTTATGCTCTACAGCACTGAAGTGCCACTAAACACCTCGACATCTTCCGAGTACGCCAGTTCTGAGATGCCATACAGCTCCGAAATGCCACTCAACACTTCAACGTCCACTGGGTACGCTAGTTCTGATATGCCCTACAGCACTGAAGTGCCACTAAACACTTCGAGATCTTCCGAGTATGCCAGTTCTGAGATGCCATACAGCTCCGAAATGCCCTTCAACACCTCAACGTCCACTGGGTACGCTAGTTCTGATATGCCCTACAGCACTGAAGTGCCACTAAACACTTCGAGATCTTCTGAGTACGCCAGTTCTGAGATGCCATACAGCTCCGAAATGCCACTCAATACCTCGACATCTTATGAGTACGGCAGCTCTGTGATGCCACACAGCACTGATGATGCATTGAACACCTCAACGTCTCCTGAGTACGCCAGTTCTGAAATGCCAAACAGCACTGATGATGCATTCAACACCTCAACGTATGCTGAGTACGCCAGTTCTGAAATGCCATACAGCTCTGAAATGCCACACAATAGCTCGACGTCAATCGAGTATGCCAGCTCTGAGATGCCATACAGCACTGAAGTGCCTCTCAAAACGACCTCTTTCAACTTCAATAGCACTGAAGTGCCCTTCGACACCACAATATTTCCCAATACGAGCACTGAGGTTTCTCTGAAGAGAAAGGTAACTACAGAGACTGACTATTTTTTTCGAAGTTCGATCTTTAAGTTCAAACAGATTTCAGCATGATACATTTTTTGTCCAGTTTTTAAAATTTGTTTGATTAGATTGAATTAACAGAGGTTTCTTTCATAGTTTCAGCTCCCTTGCTAGCCTTTATGCGGGTTACTAATGGACTTACGATTGTTGGTTTTGTTATCAAATCGCTTACTGTTCTGCACTATTGACAGAAAGCGTAACGAGACGTCTAAAACGGTTTATTTTTAATTCATAGTGCTATCAATGATGTTTAGTTCAGTTTCTAGGATAAATGTTGGCTTCATTTTCAGCGACGAAGTGAATCTGATTGCGACGATTCTTCATACTCAAACTCTCTTTCAATAATTGCACCCTTCTTCAGTGACATCGGAACTCAAGACAATCTGCTGGATTATGAGTGCATCCTGAATTATGATAACGACTTTAATTGGTGAGCTAAAGAAAGGGTTTCCAGGTGTTCGAAGTTTTCATTCGTAATTTTTTTAACCGTTTTTAGTTTCCATATACCATTTGCATTGAAAAGATCTATGTGTATTCAATGAGACTGCAAAAATGAAAACAAAAAGTGGTAAATATTGGAAAATGTAAAGGTTGGTGCTTTTTTGTCGTTGAACAAAATATCCCAACAGAATGCTATGAAAACCCCTCCTCAAATTTGGAAACCTTCTGGCCTCTCTTATATATTGTTATATGAGATCTTCGTGATAAGTATGCAATATCTTGTAGACTATTGTATATTCATCTAAAAGTTCTCAAATAACTATTTTGTCCAGATTTCGACTCGCTCATCAACTCAATGATCCCCTCTTTGTTATTAGTTTACGGCATCATTTTTTTACCAGTCTTCGTATTATTTTAAAGTCGCTTTTGGAGTCAATTGACACCTAATGGGAATCGCCTGCCAAAAAACGCATTTTTTGTCAAATCTTTTCAAAATAATCCAATGTCAAAATTCTTCATCTGCGCAAAAAGATTTTGGCAAAATAGCCTTTTTTGTATTTTAGAGAGCTTCTCAAATCAATTTGGTAAATCTAAAAAATTCGAATAAATTTCATCATAATTTTTTCTGAGTCTACCATCTCCCTGCGAGAAAATCTTAGATTTGCTCCGAAAACACAAACAACATGCTGATGATATAACGTAGACATGTTGTAAGTTAACTTGAATCGAGTCCTTTGTTAACTATTTGAATTTCTATTTTTATTTTGTTCAAGGTGGGATGTCGAGAGGATTTGTAGCTATTACTGGCAGGCTCGAGAGGGCACTGGGACTGGAAGAAGCTATTATCAGTGGCTTCTGGACGATTACGTGGCGGACGAGGAGTTGCGTGACCAGATAAACGAACACGGCCGAACCCCTATTGACAAAGCAGAACTGGTCTCAATGGGGGCGAAGTTTGACGACGATCTGACTCAAAACATAATGGGCGAAGATACTAAATATTTGAACTTGGCGAACAATATCTTCAAGCGTGAAATGAGTGAAGCAGATTTGCTAGTGGTCACGGGGATGGTTGGAACTACACATGAGTTTGAGGCCACGTGGGGGTTTGTGGCCACGTGGTACAAAGTGGGAACTTATCCTATTAGAGTGGACGCCTTCAATAGCTTCCAGGTTAGTTGTTAAACTGCACTGATTTTAAATACTCTTTTTTAGGGTCACTTAATTGGTTTTCTGAGCTCTTAAAAACACCCAAAAAAGCAATTTCATTAAAACAATTGGCATCCCAGGCTTTTATATGTCAAAACTTAACGAAAGTGTTGTTTTCAGTTTTTTAGCAGGCGTTGACTATCAAACTACGTTTGTTTTGTATTCCCCCTTCTTACACAAATTTCTGTGTCGGCAAAGTTAACATGATTGGCATAATTGATGTCGATCTGACAGTGAATGGTGGCGCATCTGGCTCCATTATTTTGTCCCTCTAGTTACACAACGCAAGAACAGTAAAAGGTTGTATTAATTTTTTTCTTGAGAGCAAAATTTCATTCTATTTAAGAGTCAATGAACGCAGTTCAGGCTCTTTTTTAGGATAAGTCTTTAAGTTTGTTCAGCCTCAAATTTATCTTTTCGCGGTTTGACTGTTGATTTTTTTTCAAGTTCAATTCACTTCCTTTGTTTAGACAAGCAAAGCTTGTGTTATAGTATGAGCTAAGCTTGTTCCTGTTTGATTTATTAAACAGGTATTATGAAAGCGTTTTTTTTTCCAGATGAGATCTGGTTTTTTTTTTTTTTTTTTTTTTTTTTTTTATTATTTTTTTTTTTTTAGACGCTTTTTCGAAAAATTCGCTTTCCCAAAAAACTACCCGTCAGATTCTCATACAAGTGGTACCAATGGATTCAGTAGCGTTTCACCTACCTGCCTGCATGAAATTTAGGGCAATTTTTACCCTACCCCACCCCCTACGGTCTTAGAAAAGCTTCACAACTCGGTACTTTTTTCACTTTTTGCCCATTTTTTCGGAAATTTTCAATTTCCTCAAAAACTACCCGTCCAGATTTGGGATTAAGGGTTTAATCGATAGACCAGGTTGTAGGAAACTCCCATGCACAAGCGGCTGGTCCCTAATTTGCTTAGGGGAAGAGCTATACACTTAGGAATAGTCAATTTTTCGGTTTTTAGGCCATTTTTTCAAACTTTTTCGATTTCTTCAAAAACTACCCATCCAGATTTGGGATTAAGGGTTTAATCGATAGATCAGGTTGTAGGAAACTCCCCTGCCCAAGCGGCTGGTCCCTAATTTGCTTAGGGGAAGAGCTATAGACTTAGGAAAAGTCACTTTTTTGATTTTTTTGCCTATTTTTTCGGAAATTATCGATTTCCTCAAAAACTACCCATCCAGATTTGGAATTAAGGGTTTAATCGATAGACCAGGTTGTAGGAAACTCCCCCGCACAAGCGGCTGGTCGTTAACTTGCCTAGGGGAAGAGCTATAGACTTAGGAAAAGTCACTTTTTTGGCCTTTTTTTCGGAAATTATCGATTTCCTCAAAAACTACCCATCCAGATTTGGGATTAAGGGTTTAATCGATAGACCAGGTTGTAGGAAACTCCCCTGCCCAAGCGGCTGGTCCTTAATTTGTCTCGGGGAAGAGCTGTACACTTAGGAAAAGTTTTTTTTAAAGTTTTTTGGCATTGGAACAAAGATTCAATATACTTATTGTGTGTATTTTTTAGACAATGGAATCCGCTATGCTTACGTTTTCTCGCTTTTGCTTGGTGCTATTGGCTTTGTGTTGAGTTTTTTTTTGTATGGCTCGAAGAAGTCCAACGAGAAGTTGCACGAGTTACGCTAGTTCTCTTTAATCAGGTCGGTTTGTTCCAGAACGTTTTTGTGATGTCAGTTATAGTCAACATATTATAGTCATATTTGCAATGCTTGGACAAAATTTAATTAATTTGAAAATTAAAGAGTCGTTAGAAAAATGAAAAATACTTTATTTTATTAATGTTAGCTGGTTTGTGAAACACATTTCACTTAATTCTAGTGAATAATTATTCACATTGTTGAAGCATTGTGCATATGATTTTATTTTAAATATATTTAGCATGTAACCATGATTGATACGGTTTGCCTTGTCGCACTGTGAAAGGCCTGTTTAATGGGAGGTCATAAATAACTTAAAACATGCGCCAATCGATCAGTACGACATCATTGTCATCTTGTGTGGAAGCAATGATGTATTGAAAATGTCACCTGATGCGCTCATAGATCAATTCAGAGGTATCATTAAAAATCTGTACCTCTCACTTTAATCATTTATATACTTCAATTCTAGTCCTCAAAGGTGTATTAGAACAACGGGGAGGACGATTTTTTGTATGATCTCTCCTCCCCCGCCAGAACGACGTCTATCGGGCGCGGGCAGTCCTTCTAAATAGGGAACTTAAAAATTTGTATGGTTCCGAAAACGTTACCAATGAATGCATAAGCTTTTTTTTCACTTTTTTTGCGTAGGAAGGGCGCTATCGACTTGAGAAACCTGAAATTTTAAAACAATTTTAAAATAATCAATATTAAAATAATCAAACGGGTCTCTCCAGCTTTTAGCTGGCCCCTAGTGTTATAGTATGAACTATCTTTTTTTTTCAACGTAAGTCGCAAATTCCTGTTTGATTTATTAAACAGGTATTATGAAAACGTTTTTTTTTTTCCAGATGAGATCTGGTTTTTTTTTTTTTTTTTTACTTTTTTTTTTTGAGACGCTTTTTCGAAAACAATTGCTTTCCCAAAAAACTACCCGTCAGATTCTCATAAAAGTGGTACCAATGGATTCAGTAGCGTTTCACCTACCTGCCTGCATGAAATTTAGGGCAATTTTTACTCTACCCCGCTCCCTACGGTCTTAGAAAAGCTTCACAACTCGGTACTTTTTTCACTTTTTGCCCATTTTTTCGGAAATTTTCGATTTCCTCAAAAACTACCCGTCCAGATTTGGGATTAAGGGTTTAATCGATAGACCAGGTTGTAGGAAACTCCCCTGCCCAAGCGGCTGGTCCCTAATTTGCTTAGGGGAAGAGCTATAGACTTAGGAAAAGTCACTTTTTGATTTTTTTGCCTATTTTTTCGGAAATTATCGATTTCCTCAAAAACTACCCATCCAGATTTGGAATTAAGGGTTTAATCGATAGACCAGGTTGTAGGAAACTCCCCCGCACAAGCGGCTGGTCCTTAACTTGCCTAGGGGAAGAGCTATAGACTTAGGAAAAGTCACTTTTTTGGCCTTTTTTTTCGGAAATTATCGATTTCCTCAAAAACTACCCATCCAGATTTGGGATTAAGGGTTTAATCGATAGACCAGGTTGTAGGAAACTCCCCTGCCCAAGCGGCTGGTCCTTAATTTGTCTCGGGGAAGAGCTGTACACTTAGGAAAAGTTTTTTTAAAAAGTTTTTTGGCATTGGAACAAAGATTCAATATACTTATTGTGTGTATTTTTTAGACAATGGAATCCGCTATGCTTACGTTTTCTCGCTTTTGCTTGTTGCTATTGGCTTTGTGTTGAGTTTTTTGTATGGTTCGAAGAAGTCCAACGAGAAGTTGCACTAGTTACGCTAGTTCTCTTTAATCAGGTCGGTTTGTTCCAGAACGTTTTTGTGATGTCAGTTATAGTCAACATATTATAGTCATATTTGCAATGCTTGGAGAAAATTTAATTAATTCGAAAATTAAAGAGTCGTTAGAAAATTGAAAAATACTTTATTTCATTAATGTTAGCTGGTTTGTGAAACCCACATTTCACTTAATTCTAGTGAATAATTATTCACATTGTTGAAGCATTGTGCATATGATTTTATTTTAAATATATTTAGCATGTAACCATGATTGATACGGTTTGCCTTGTCGCACTGTGAAAGGCCCGTTTAATGGGAGGTCATAAATTACTTAAAACATGCGCCAATCGATCAGTACGACACCATTGTCATCTTGTGTGGAAGCAATGATGTATTGAAAATGTCACCTGATGCGCTCATAGATCAATTCAGAGGTATCAATAAAAATCTGTACCTCTCACTTTAATCATTTATATACTTCAATTCTAGTCCTCAAAGGTGTATTAGAACAACGGGGAGGACGATTTTTTGTATGATCTCTCCTCCCCCGCCAGAACGACGTCTATCGGGCGCGGGCAGTCCTTCTAAATAGGGAACTTAAAAAGTTGTATGGTTCCGAAAACGTTACCAATGAATGCATAAGCTTCTCTTTCACTTTTTTTTTGCGTAGGAAGGGCGCTATCGACTTGAGAAACCTGAAATTTTAAAACAATTTTAAAATAATCAATATTAAAATAATCAAACAGGTCTCTCCAGCTTTCAGCTGGGCCCCTAGTTTTGTTGCGATAAAATGTTTTCATTTTGAAAGTGTTCATTTTGATCAATGACCAGCTATTGAGTACAGACAATGCTAAGGATATTAACATAATAATCATAATAATTTGTTTTCGGGCAATTTTATTGTGGGTCGTTAATAAATTTACAAACCACGCCAACTATTTTACTGCCTAGGAGAGCACCATTGGTCCTACACAGGTCCGTGCCTCAGAACTCAGACTACAGACTCTTGTGTCTGAGAACACAAATTATTTTTTTCCGACTTTCGTAACGAAGTAACGGAATATTTTTTTTATTCAGACAAATTAAGACTTTTTAACTAGCCATTTTAAACGGGATTTATTTATATCATTCAAAAAATATTGTTGTCCTGAGCTGAATCTTGGAAAGATATTTCACCTGTGATAATTTTTCGTAAATTAATGGGGGTTCAAAAATTGCCAATTTGGCACAATTAACCGCGATATGTTTCGCGCTTTTAACGCGTAATCGGACATTTAATATATCGTAGAAAACGTTCCAATTTGGGTAAAAGAAGCTTATTTGCCATAATTGATTTGTTACTAAGAGGGAAATTTATCAATTTATCTCAAATTTAAAAAAAATTCATTTTATTTTTACATCATTTTTTTCATGTTATTACTGTTCCTTAGACTGCTCTCAAAATTGAGGCATGTTAGTTGGTAATTTTTTTGACTGGTACTGCTAATAATTAATGACTGGTTTTGCTAATGCGTCATAATTGGCGTGCGTCAATTTAGAAAAATATATATTTGTATCTCAAAGTTTACTAATTCAGTTTTTCCCAGTATCGGTGATATTTTTGCTTGTGAATGCGAAGTGCAACTTTGCCTCTGTGTAAAAGGAAGGTAAACTCCTCTATCGAACATCGAACGAAATTTTTAAAATCACGAAAAACGTGAGCGACTTCTAGTTTCGAAAATGGTATTCATTTTTAGATTTCACAGCGAAATGAAATATTTATTCCTATGGATCCAGTTTTCTCAAATTAGGTTACTTTTCTCGAAAAATTGCCTCAGTCATAATTTGTTCTAAGGGTTTCAAGGGCATCTTCTTAAAGCTTTGAGGGCATCTATTTTCTTTGAAATTCAAAAATTGAGATTTAAAAAAACATGTCAGTTTTTTTTCTGTTTAATTGCGTCCATTGACTTCTCTTCCATCTGTCTGTTGGCTATGTTTTTCTGTTTTCTTGCGTTCAGTCACTATCTTCCAACTGTCTGTTGGCTATGTTTATTGGTTGACAATGAAAGCTCTGAAGGTTGTAGTATAAGTCGTGTTGTTTTCCAAAAACCTAATTAAAATTGTTATGCTCAAAATTTGTTTTTGCGGGTTGACTTTTTATTTAATTTTAAAACACATTCAAATTAATTTGCTAAAAGGAAGGCAAAATACACTCTCCAATGACATTGCCGACTTCTTGTTTCAAAAATGAATTTTAATTTCAGAACCTTCAGCGGAAAATAAAAAATATCTTCTGATCCATTGTCTCAAATTGGGCTGTTTATAAAGAAACAATATCAATTCCAAAGCCTTATCAACTTTTTTCTCGATAATTGAAACTTAATTTTAAAAGTTAAAAATCCGTTTTCCTGTTTCCTTGTTCATTGGCGTTTTTCCAACCGTCTGTTGGCTACGCTTGATTTCTCCGATTGCTTAGTAGAAGGAAAGCAACTACGCTCTCTGATTAAAAGTGCGTGAATGAGTTTTACTTTCAAAATTTGATTTTAAATTTTTGAATTTCCAGCCGCATTAAATTTTTTCTTGTGATCCAGTTTTTTTCAAATTGGGTTAGTTTTATCCAAAAGTGTCAGTAAATTTTTTTAATATTTAAACAGCTTTACGGTGAGATTTTTTCATTCTCACCGCTTCGGAAGTTTTGTTCCGATGCCAATTTAACATTCAATTGTTTTTCTCGAAATGAGCTTTATTTAAAACAATTCGAAACAAACATTTGGAAGTTTTGGTAGCTATAGTGTTAACTTTTTGCCGACTTAGCGTCTTCCGTTTCATTTTCTGTTGGCTGTTTCGCCATGCTGTTTGTGTTGAATAGCAAGTGGTGCGAAGGTCCGCTTGGCCTCTGTATGATAACCTTTTCTATCAGCGCAACGAGCGTGTACCCAAGTTTTGTCTACTTAGGTGTCGCTTGGTATATTTTGTATCAATGCTGTTTTAACGCTATTAATTCTGTTTCTCAACATGTTTTGCTCAAGTTGAACTTCATTCAGACGAACATAACGCCTGAAAATTTTCGGAAATGGTGATTTTTGTCATTTTGAAAAAAAATCAACTCGGCGGCTTTCGGCTAGTTTTCATGCTATGGTTGTTTTATATCGCAGGTGGCCTTGTTCAAAGCTTAATATTAATCTATTGTCGCTGCCAAAAAATGTTTTTTTTATCACGTGGTCGAAACATTCCATGATACTTGCACAGCAACCAGCTATATTATTTGGTCTTAAAATCAAGTTGAAGAGTTTGATCACCTGCGACTGCCTTGATTTTAGGCTATGTTAGTTTGTGATGACAAAGGTACTGTTGAGGACGAGAGTGACGACAGGTGTCTCACTATCTTCGACTTCTTCCAGCTGCAGTGGACTTTCAACTTCTGGTCGTCCTCCTCCCAAAGAAGTGGCTTCAATGACGGACATGGTCAGTTCAAGTTTGTTTTACCTTCTATCCTTAAAAAGTGGAAATGTTTCATAGTATCTTAAGTTTCGTACGCCCTAAAAAGAAACGAAGAAAACGTGATTAGGAGTTTTTAAACGTGGTTGTTTTTGAAACCTTTTGTCAATTGTTTTTCTTAAGCCAGCCCTTTTTGTTATTTAGCTGAAACAAAGAAACTGAGTTATTTCACATTAAGTGTTTTTAAGTCGTTTTTCGAATTCCAAATTGCGGTTTTTTTCACTATCATATATATAGAAATGCTTTCAGGTTTTATATACGAACTGCCATCATCTGGTACAGCGGAAGTACGCAACTTGTGGGCTCAAAGCAACATCGGCATCATGGGTATGTGGGTGTTCGAAATGGGCCAGAATCTGAACGAACCCTTCGTACTCCCGGGCGGCAAACTATCCTCGGGACTCCTGGACATGTCACAAATTTGTTCTGGAGATATCTCTCCAAAAATGGCTAATATGATGAAAACGCAGCAAAGTCTGAAGATCCATAAATGCGTGATGCCGGCATTCACCACATTAGAGTTGCAGTTTTCAGGCAGTATCTTCCAGATAAGAAAACCGGCAACTTTCCATGTGAACTCAATGCAAATAAGAGGTGAGGAAAATAGCTATTTCTCGCTGATGTTGTTAGTTATCCTGTGCTGTGAGATATCAATGCTACTCTTGCGATAAGCTTCGATATAGCAACGGGGTACCTAGAGTTATTTCCGTTAGCAACTTTTCTCACAGGATGACTGGGATTGGTTGCATCTCATCTTGATAATCTTTCACTAAATTATTTTCCTAGTGCATTGTTATTGTATCGAAAGCTAAAATTATATAAACCAAAGTCAAAAGAAACTAGAGATTTTCGGCTTTATGGATTTCGTCCCAATGTTTGTCAACTTAATTGCCGGGCGTTTTTTTTAGTTTTCCAATTAATTTTTGGCTCCGATCACTCAAAGAATGGGAAGAAAATGAGGCGTAGCGCCGTGTCCATCTTACTTTTGAGAAGCAATCAATTTTTATGCTAACCGAGATATTTATCATGGTGGAGGATGTTCATTGAATTTTTTCAAACGAGTTTTTGAACGAACTTTCCTTCATTTTTCTTAGTGTCCTTAGATAATTAAATCAGGTTTTTTTCTTTATTCTTAAGCTAAACAAAAACTTGATTTATCCGATGAAAAAGGTTTGAAAAAATTGGAAAAATTGTTTAGTTTTTTTGACAAATAGTTGGACTTGTTTAATAAGCTTTAATGGGTCATGCGCGTTAGAGAATTGGTAGTAGTTCCTGTTATTCATTCAGGCATAAATGTATATTGATGTTTGAAGTTCAAAGAAACAAAAGTGCAAAATGTCACGAAAAACCTGATCGGCTTCTTATTTCGAAAAGGGATATTATTTATCAGTTTTCCCAGCGGAATAAAAAAAATTACCATTTGTTCCAGTTTTCTCAAATTACCATCCCGTGAAACTACCAATCTGGCTTGACAAAAGTCTGCGGGCATCAGTAGTTAAATTATGCGATGCGGACTGCGGCAGTTTTTACTAACTATGCGGCAGTTTTTACTAACTATGCGGTCCTTTCTGCGGAAAAATTGAAAATCTACGGTAAAAAATGCGGAAATCTGCAAAGATCATCTATTTGCCAAAATTAGTTTTTTGACGGACCCTCTCAACACAACTGAACACGATTTTTTTTCATTTTTTGTCAAAGGTTTTTCTGTGTACTTGAGCTTTTCAAGCGTCGAAGTGTTCGTTTGAAATCAAAAATTGCTCAACAAAATTTTTAACCTGGCAGAAAGTATCTCATTTTTTTGGAAATTTGTCTCACAAGTACCCTTTAGTTTGCTGCGATGAATTTCTGCGGGACTCTGCGATGTGAAATTTTAGGCTTATTATGCGGTAATATTACGTTGATATTGATAATAATTCAATTTTAACGAAAACATTAGCTGCAAACCAATTTTTTTGTTGATTTAATCCGCTTGAAGAAAATCAAATGTATTTCAATTGGTCTGGCGGGACCACACTTCTAAACGAACTTCTGAGTGGGACTCATCAAGAACACCGCAACCATACTTCTAAACGAGTACCCATAAATGTTCTAGAAATTCAAAGAGCTTTTAGGCGGTATATTTTTTCTCTGAAATTCGATGTGAGTCTTTTTTTTGTTTCCTGGCGTTGATTGACTCTTTTCCAAAATTGTAGTAAAGCGGTACTAAAGAAAGCATCACGTATTGGAGTTACGCTAGTGCGATGGGTTCGATAAGTTCTTCGATGGTTTTGTGAAAGTTTAATTTCGTTCAGGAACGTTCCCAGATGTGTGGGGAGTCGACGAGCAAGTGTCGGTTGAATTGGTCATCGACTCCGCGCTGATCATGGGATCCCAATCTGTTTATTTTTTCTCCCCTAACTCCAGGGCCGCCTCGGCTGTCGATGCATGGCAGGGAGATGGAAACATCCAAATCGATTGGACCCAGCAGCAGTCTATGTTTGATACTAGCGTGGCTGTGGAATTGGAAGTTATTACAGTCACTGCAATGAGTTAGTATACATCTCAACCCGAAGTCTAAAAGATATGAAAGGGGTTGAGTTTTTCAATTGAGTGCTTAGTTTTAGCCGTTTGACTTTGTCGAGATTCAAGATGCAAACTTAACTTAAAATTTGAAGAACTATATAACTTAATGAAAGTTGGTTGTATTTTTCTTTTGTCGATAATTTCGATTTTTCTGTAGATCCAAGTGGTATGACTTTCCAGAGTTTTGCTGTTCCTCTGTCACCTGGCACGAACTCCTACACGTACACAATGCCTCCTGCAAATCAGAACTCCGCTTTCTTTAATACATTCTCCGTCAAGCAAAACAACGGTTGGTATTTTTTGCTTCTGCAATTGGCAGTTAGTAAAAACTCAACTTCAAAGCTGGCAAAAATGGAATTCGGAATGTAGCATAAGTCTCGTCTGGCTTTGATTCTTTGTTTAAACTTTTTAAAGTAAGTTTAACTGGTTAAGACTTTTGCTGGAGATCACAACTGATAAAAGAACGCCTTCCAAATACTCTGTAATAGTCTCTTAGTAATAGTCTTCGAAATTTTGCTAGCTTTCTGCCGCAAGTTGAAGTTCAGTTTTGATGTATTCTAGTAACCTATCCTGTTGAGAGAAACTGAGCGAGCATTTCTGATTTAATAATAGCTGAACATATTCCACCAAGTTTTTTCCGTGTGAATTTAAACTAATTTTATGGTTTTCAGCATACAAGTATTGCCTTTTGAATTTAGTGCGAGCTACATCTATGCCAGTTATGCAAGCTCCCACTCTCTCTTGTGACAGCTGGGCTGCACAGGAATCAGAACAGGATCTCTCGAAGTGCATCTCGGAGGCAGGCAAATGGTACGGCTGTCCTCGTCAAATCGACACTGGTCGCTGGTGGCGCAACGACAACTTCCCAGATGAAGACTTCGCACGCGAAGAGGTGCGGGCCGGAATGGCCGGTTGGAAGTACGACATATGTTGCAGTGATGACTCACTGACACGAGAAAGACTGGAAAGTTCGAACTTCTGTGGAACAACGAGCTGCGAATTCAATTCAGGGGCCGAGTTTTGTATTCGATCTCCGAGACTGGCTTGCTTAGAACAGAACAGCAAAAGCAAAGTGCTGTATGTTTCGAATCAATGTTGTTACAACACAGCCGGGAATCTAATTCAGCCAGGTGAAGCAGGAGCAGGGAGGTTGAATCTCCAGGAGAACTCCGTGAAAAACATGGTTGCTCATTACTGGTCCGACTTGCTGCCTTATAAGGTATGTTGCGCAGATGCTTCGTCATCCGACTGTGAGACATACAAAACATACCGTCCGACTATCATTGGTGGATATTGGCCAAGAAATATTCTGATTGGACGAGGCGACCCGGATTTCCAAACGGTAGATGGTCTTAGTTACCCCTTTAACGGACTTGGCGTTTACGTTATGCTTACGACATCGATGGAGGAGCCGACTAATGTACATATAAGCACGAGACGAGTTGGCTTAGGTTCAGTGTTCTCGGGTTTCGCGGCTCAATATAAGTCAAGCAAATTACAGGGTTACATAAATGAAAACGGAACTTTCTATCTGAAGATCAACAATCGCGAAATATCTCGTGAAGATCCTTCTGAATTCACATTGGATAATATTACAATGAGTGTTAATGATGACAGGTCGACCTTCACATTTGAGTTCGATGAAGCTAGTTTGATTATCAGAGTGGTCATTAATTTGGGGGGAATCAATGCTCTGAATTTGATGTTCTCAGTGCCTCCCACTTTCAAGTGGAGGGCAGACGGACTGTTGGGTCATTATGACGGAGAGAGCTGGAATGACTTCACGACATCAGGTTAGGTTTTATCTTAAGTTTTATCGAGCTTTTTTAATTTTTTTTCCATTCAGCACATCGATTCTTTCAAATGGTTTTTGCCAGCAAGATTTAAATCAAGAAATTTTTGAAGTGAATTTGTAAAGAGTAGTCAGGAAAGGGAAAGTGCTTCAGGCGAACGCATTGGTTCTTGTTTCTAAATGTAGTAGCTGTTAAAGCACAATAGAATGCTCATTTCGTTGGTTTGTTTCAGCTGGAATGGTGATTGCGAACGACACGGATTACGACAATCTGCACCGGATTTTTGGGAACAGTTGGGAGGTGACCAGCAGAAATGACTGGCTCTTCTCAGACTCCCGCATGAATGACCTGATTCACTACGACATCCAGAAGGGATCGCCCTTCACTCCCTCCTATGATATTGTGTTTGACAGCGAAGAAGAGAGAATAGCTGCTGAAATAGTTAGTTTATTTAATCACTCATTGGATATGAAGTTTTCATCTGATTGAGTGAAATACTGGTTTCATACCACAACTGTTCTTGTCTAGTGAATTGAGGATAAAGTTAGAGCCCGGAGGAGCGTAAACAAATGATTATTCAACCTAATTCATTTACACTTGGCAAAAAGTTGTAGTAATTGGTCAGAACCAAATTACAGTGTACGTTACGGCCCCGGCACACTTATGTATTGGTGCTCCGAAAATAGTATACCCAATGAAGTTCATAATTGGTAAGACTTCTGTATGAACCTTCTGCTGTTTCGGGTCACACGAGAGACTGGAAGTCGAATTGAAGTCGAAATATTGTGTGATTATTTCAGGCCTGCAAGAATGATACAGCCTGTATACGAGATGTCTCTCTAACCAGAGATCTCTCATTCGCCACAGTCGTGTTCCAATCAGTCGAGCAGAGTGTGAAGGATGCCGAGCGAGCGAACGAATTGTTCCGAGTAAACGAACCCGAGTGGACTCCCGAGGAACCACAGTCTGAAGAAGAAGTTGGTTACGCAATGACACCGGGAATGGTTAGCGTCAAAGTGTTCATTGCTATGCTTATAGCTAACCGGCTAATAATCTGCTACGGGATAAAGTAACCCGATCAGGAAAATGGTTCAATTAAGAAATGAAATTTTAATTTAACATCTTTCCTTCCTTTTTAAAGATAAAATCATGTTAACTTCTCAAAAAAATTTTTTTTGGCGTAAGCGCCAAAAAACTGAATAAATTCTATCAACGTCTTGTCTTGCCTGGCTAAAAATTACTGTTGAAAATGAAGATGATTACAATACAGAGTTTTTATTGATGTTGGTGCTGAATATTGTACATTTGCTGCATATTACATTGTATATTTTTGAATAATTGAAATATTTTTGTTTATTAACATCAGCTCTCCTTCTTAATATGTTATTTGAAACTATGTGACGTTGTCTTTACGCTAGCGAGCAGCTAGAGTTTTAGTACGAACCTTCTTTGTTTTTCTAACCTAACTCGCAAATAAAAAGGTTCAATCATTCACTTGTGTGCTTTTTGCTATAATCACGATCTGTAGCATTGGAAACTTCATAGCATTTGTTCTCTGCTTATTTGTGGCTAGTGTTTGGGACGTACAAAGGGTCCGTGGCTGAAAGGTTAGTGCGTGAGGCTCAAAATTTCTAGGTCGCATCAGGTCGTAGGTTCGAGTCCGTGAGGTCGCATCTGGTCGTAGGTTCGAGTCCGAGAGGTGGCCGAATCTCTACTCATTCGAGGCTTTTTTTTTACTTATAGCACTTTTTAGAACTCTAAAGCTGCATCTTGTGTTCTCGCTAGTGTTTGCGAAGCGCAGCTTCGCTTCTGTTTAAAATTGTGCGCTGGAAAGAACAGATCGTTTGTCTTCAATCTGATGTTATTTGGCCAACAGACGTGTTTTGAACATTCTGAATTTTAATTTCCCTTTGTATATAATTTCCTTCATATTTCCGTTTTAAAGTGGGTAGAAAGTAGTTTGTCTTCGAATGTGTTTATGTTGTTTTTTCTATGTGGTAAAATCAGGTACCGACGAATAGTTATCGGTATATCATATTACAGCCCTTTAGTCGTGAGTTTGTTTCTATCAAGAAACATCGGATTGAAAATCCGGTTTTAATTTCATGCGAGCTCGAAAGTGGACTAAAATTTTTCCATCGAGTTGGAAAAAATAGGCTTGTTTTGGAAGCTTCATTTGAGAGCTTGGTTGCCAATCAACTTTTTAAAAAAATCAAAATTTTTTTTCAACTTCAGTTTTTTTAAAAACCTAGTTTTCTTTCATTTTGTTCGTTATTTGATTTTCGAAGACAACTGTTGTCAATTATGCCTAATTTGTTATGGGTTTTTTACAGTTTTTTCCACCACGCACAAAAAGCACATCACACTGCGCCACAAAAAACCTAATTCGAAAAAACCTTTATAGTTTTGTATGAATGTGTTCGGAACGTTCTGTGCTACTTGCATAGGAACCCACTATCCTCGTTAAAGTTTACTTTATTGTTGTTTAAGATTAATGAACGTAGTGAGTGCTGTTATCTAGATATTGGTGATTTTTTTGTTTTTTTAGGAAATTTGTTAACTTCAATTTTGATTTTTCG